GGGGGCAACAATCCCAACGTCTTCTTTCTTTTGATGTCCTCCGTCTCGGAATTGACACCAAAAGATCTTCATAAAATCAAATATACACACTTAATTTTTATCCCTATCATTACCTGGTACTCTGACTCTGACGCCTATTATTTCTGGGTTTGCTCTGATAGCACATGCAAGTAGTTTTGTTTGAATAATGTATAAAAGTGGGGCGATTGGGCATCCATGACGAGCTGATCTTGAGATGTTGAAATATTTAGATGTAAAACCATTAGTTTGGATACATGTTTTTGAATTTTTTAAAAGCATCTCAATCCAAGTACAAAATGTATTACCACGTTGCCTTTAATTATTTTCGTCCGGAAGTAAACGTCCAGTAGGGAAACCGGAAGTGTATTCTTGAAGCAAAGACATTTGTGTTTAGACCATACATGAACATCTGCATATAGTGAAAAATCTTCATGTTTTATAACTTATTTATTAAGATAAAAACTAATTTACATTCTGAGTAAAAAAGGTCTATCACATAAAATGTGATACTAACAGGCCTGCAACTTCGTTCAGAAATTATCATCTTTTGACGTCACAAGCGCGTCACACTCCATCGGCCATCATCGGTTTATTCCAGAAGGATAAAAAATATCCGGAAAATCTTTGATGTCCGGTGCATTTATCTCTTTGTCGGTGCTTCATGACTTTTTTATTTCATTTTTTTCCATAGGCACAAAAAGCAAAAATGGGGATATTTGTTTGAAGATCCTCTTATGTCTACCGGGAGATCTCTTCAAAAAGAGCGGCATTAAACCGATAGGTCAACGTTTACATATTTCTTTTTATCATTTAAAATTACCAATATGAACGAAATTATTAACATTTGTGAAAGTCTGGTTATAGTCTTTACGTAACTTATTTATGCATTACCACTCATAAAAGAAACAATGGATAATACATTTATGTAAAATCAACAATAATTTTCCAGACAACTAACCCGAACTTAAAACCCTTTTTAAGCAACGTAATACTTTTTCACAACACATGCCGATGTATAACTAATTACAGACAGAAACTGTTTAATTTCATTTGGCATCATTACATGTTAAACCTCGGTGACAGTTACAGAATTTGAAATTCAATCCGGTGTTTCATGGTGGAACAGGAAATGAGACAACATATCGAAATAACGACAATCTCAGTTACATCAAAGTATTACAATGCTTTTTTATTTTTTTTAACGATCATCTCTATACATTTTCTTTGACTAATCGTCAAATATTTAATAAGCATTTTTTCTATAGCAATGACCAATCAGTCTTTTTCCGCATTGATATCAATCATTCTTTTTGTGCCCTTACGGAAGCACGTAGTGGATTTAATTTTTAATATAGGAGGGAGCTGGAGTATCCGGAGAAAAACCCGCGTGGTCTTGCGCAGGTGACCGGGATTGAATCCGGCCATCTTGGTGAAGACGAGCGCACTGTCCACTGCGCCACCCGACAAATCATATACGTTACGCACAAGAACAAAATATCTACTTTAGCTTTGACTAGAAGGAAATGGCTTCATTGATGCAAAAAATAATTTTGAATACATTTTTATCAATCATCAATGATACACAAAACCTACATACGGGTGACCGGGGCAAGTTCTGCCACCCCTGTATTTTTGTTTTTGAGCTAATATTTACAACTCTAAAGATCTTAGCAGTTTAGTTGACGAGGAAAACTCTAATGTAAAATTACTAAACAGGAAATAAATACTTTTGAGAGGGTAGAAAGAAAATCATGATCTCGCGTCTATAGTTATGCGAACTTTCTGTAAACGTAATTGCTACTTTTTGTACGGTCAAACATGATACACACTGACAGCTTCAAATGGTAAAAATAAAATCCAAGCAAAGCACTCATTGCCATATTGCTGTACAATAAAAACTTATTGAAATATCGATTTGGGCCCGGACAGGTTCGGGCAATGATACCGCTGCAACCTCTGCTCATCTAACACCTTCAAAGTCGTAAAATTTGCGGTAAAATCTTGGCGTTGCACGCTTTATGACGTCATAATAAAGCTGATTCCAATGGGGGCCGAATTACCCATATGACTGTCCGAACTAACCCATGGCGGGGCTCGTTCGGCAATCCGATCTTTCGACAGGAAAAGTTAAATAATATTAAAAAGCGGACGTGCTGCCATACTTCCCAGAACGAACTCAAATAAAAATGGGCCGAACTTGTCCCGACCTACACTATTGTTATGTCGTTCTTCATCTCATTAGAGCTTGTGTTTTATTGTTATTCCTCGACTTGCCAATTTGAAATAAAGTTCATCTTATCTGAAAATCTCATTCTGAAAGCAGCATGCTGAATCAGTAAAAATCAGAGACCAACAAAAGCTACGTTCTTTTAAGGCTTGGCCTTTTCATATTAACATAGTATGCCAAATTGCTATCTCAATTTAATCATTTGATAAAAGTAACGTCTTATCAACTTAGATCATACACGGTGTTGTTACTTTGAAGTGTCTAAACTGAAATGGCTTGGAGTGGGACAAAATGCGGTTGTTGTGTCACACTTATCTTGACGATAAAATATCGACACCATCTATGCAAGTTATACTTAATCACTGTCAGAAATAACCCTGGCTCTTTTATTCTTTCTGCCAATCGCTTGGCCTCACTTGGAGGCGCTTACACGTGTTTAATTTGATTTGAGGTTTCCCCGACCAGTCAACTGGCTTCCATGGAAATGAGAGTTTACTGTAGATATAAACATTGTGTCTCCCCCAGAAAATAGTCTCCCCATAATTGGTAGCAGAGGAATGTTATGAGCAGTATACTCGTCTGATGTCCCAGACGTTCTTTCACACAGATGTTGCATAGTTATGGTAGTTTGTTAACAGTGTTTTGACTGGTAAAATAAGCAGATGCATTTTATTTATTTTTCCCAGGGATAAAATGTCCCTTTTATAAAATATCTTGTTTTCAATATTTCACTTGAAAAAGTGTAATAAAAATGTAAACTCATTTTCACTTCACTTGAACCCCAATGTTTGCTTCTGTACAGTACTAAACTAAAATCCCTATATACAGTTGTAAATGTCACACACTTTTATTGGGTCATTTTATATATGTCATTATAGTAGTCCACGAACTGGTACATATTCATCTATCACTCCTGTGTATGTCGACTTATTGAATTTCTCACTCCATCGGGTTGAGATGGGGGAATCTCAACCCGAGAGGGAATATTTGCCAAATGTGTTTTGCAACTTATGATTTTTTCTCAGAGGGTTAAAATTTCACTATCTCACCCAAAGGGGGTGAGTGATTCCAATTTCTCTTTTCCTGTTCACCCATTGTGTATCATATCCATAAAGTGCTGTTAATGTTACAGGCAAAATGCAGGGTTGGGTTGACGTTGATGTAGGGTTGACTTGACGTGAGGTTTTGTTTTCCTTTTTTCTTTTCTTTTTTTTCTTTTCAATTAACTTACATGAGTATAACAGAGAGTCAATCACGAAGGAACCTTTATTTCTGATTTAGATAAAGACCAAACAAGCTGTTATTGTTACTGTTATTGTCATCGACTAACAAACAATGACTTGATTTGGATGTTACATCTGGTTCCTTAATAACGGTTATTTCGTCTTTTTGTCCTTTCTGAGGATTGTCTTCTCCAGTGCCATTAACGGGGACTCGACCGCAAGGCAAAGGACAACTGCTACCATGTAGGACATTATCAAGTTTCCAAGAAAGATGTAAATCTGGTGAAAAATAAACGCTTCTTATAAAATCAGTCAAATAATGATTGCCTGATAACAACAGATAACACAATTATAAAGTACACAATACCGTTATATAGAAATTACATGTGAATGGCGAATTGAACGCTAGGAGAAAATGTATTTTATTAGTAATGGGCGAATCTTTGACAGGGCGAACGTTTCCCGGTATCCAAGATACAGAATAAGGAATAGCACAGTATTTTAAATACATTGTATACGTCAAACGATATTAATTCAAAAAAAGGTAAAATCATTTTACGTACATACAGTTAGCACCCGTAGGAAGTATCGTAAAAATATATCACCGTGTTCCCTTTTCAGTCTATCATCTATTCATCAAATAATCGTCTTGCTTTTACAAGATTAAGTACTTACTACTTCGGTGTCGGTCCCATATACCCCTTGTCTCCGAGACATATAATAGGCATTGATGACCAGCGGATGAACGAGATAGACACAGTACGACAGACGGCCAAGTGGGACAAACGGACTCCAGGACAGCAAAGTGTTCACATAACCTGAAATTTCGATTATTCTTCAGATTTTTCTTCTCCGTAAGTAAAATAGTTAATATTTATTTCTTTTGCTCCTTTACTAGATTAGCAATTACAACATTTTATTTCTAACTCTGCTTAATCGACGCAACACCTAAACTTCTCACTGCCATTTCTAGAATCATAAACAAGGGCTACAGTTAAAGAAAACTTACTACAAGACAAAAGCAAAAACGAAAAGAGAGGATAAAAATGTGTCTACAAAATGTTATTTAAACCCGAAATCGAAGAAACTGGGGTTAAGTACGGTAAGCACCTTCTGCTTTATATGTGAATGTCACATCTTGAAAATAAGAACCGGAGTAATGACAACGAAAAATAATCTGCATAAGCAAACAAAGTTAATCTTAAATCGATACAAGAAAATAGGATATTTCCCAATGAGATTATGGTAGCGACCATGAAAATTGTCCATAAGCGTCATCAGCCTGCATATTTTGAAACCCGGTGTCGTTATTTTCAACCACCTGCATGCGTAGTCATTACGAAATAAGGTAAACATCATTCATATTTCAAATTTGGAAATTTTGCAATGAATGTTTTACCTCCGTTTCCTGTAACGCATGCAAACACAACCCAGCAGACGCAGACTCCCCACAAGGTTCGATGGACAGCGTTGTAAAGGGCAGCAATTTCAACACTCATGGCGTTCCCGATCGATTCCTCATAAATACCAAACGTCACTATACAGGCCAGGGATGCCATACATACCCAGATGAAAAGGTTCAATGGCTAAAATAGAAATAGAGTAATATTTTCTCTTCCTTGGGCTGATTATATACATGAACATATATATTAATTTGTTTTCCTTTTTTCCTATAAATCATTCTTTTAGCTCTGATGGAAGCTCGAAGGAGAAAGATACCAGAAACACTAAGCAGCTTCCAAGCGCTTACACCTGCTCAGAGGATTATTAGGGTACGCATTTCCTTTAAAGAACCTCTAAAGAGGTGGAAGCGCTATTGGGCATTTCTCATAATTTCTTTTATTTTTATTTTCAACGAATACACCATCAATAGGACTGCTATTGTATATACATATATACTAACTTTGAATGAATGAGCACTGTAAGCTGGCACAATACAAATTCCACTCAACACATTTAAAATTGTATAACTTGCTCTGAGGTAAATGTTATGGTTTTTTCACAACTGATCATTCAGCTTTCTTTAGCTTCTAACATATTTTAGTTAATATATTACCAAATATTAATCTTTACATATTTCCAGTCACGTATCTTATATTGATTATATTTTCTCCTTTATCAATTCCACTATCTGTCCTTAATTTTTCACAGCAGTTTTTTATGATGTTATCGTTGTTTATCTATATATACCTCCTGCATTCGTTTTGACAACATATTAAATATGACATGACTATATACAGTGTACTGCTGATGCTGACACAAAGGTACGGATTTGTATGTTTACTCACTTAGAATTGTGTAATATATATAAACAGATCGTAAAGATTAGATGACACAAATCTTTCCTAAATCCTCATTGGTTGGATTATTATCACGTGGAGGTCGGTGATTTGTGATATTGACTCGGTGTTACTATTTTAAGAAACAGCAGGTCAATATTAACTTTATGGCGTCATTTCAATTGTAACGTCACAATAATCTCTGACATTCATGATTTGATTTAATTTAATGATAGATTTGTGATACAGGATTTCGTATCCTATACACCAGACTCTAATTGTTATAAATAAAAGAGATTTGTGATAGCACATACAAGTACTATATTTTCTGGCAAGTTATTCAAAACATTTGCAGTTCTTGATAAAAACAACTTTTCCTCTTCATTGTTTTACACTGCTGGAGTATAATTTCAAAGAATTTCCTCGGTTTGATTGACGACAAATGCAGCTCTCTCTGCCGTACAATTTGCATACGCTCTACCTAATTCAAGTATTAAAACTCGGTAAATATCACTTTCAAATTTTTACCTGAACAAAAGTCAGTCATTGTTAAAAAAACCCATATATTTGTGTTTATTTCCGATCTGAGGTGTTGCAATATTGGCAATCGATCTAACATAGATTGCAGTAACGTAAAAGTAAATATAAAAATGATATGTTCTATGATAATAAAACGGGCTTGGTTGCTTAAACATCAAATATAGGCTAATTAATAAGGCGTTTTTCAGTCACTTGCGTAGAATTTGGTATTTACACTACAAGTACTTTGTACAAATACAGTTGTTTATCAGGGGACATTACTCAGATTCTGTGTTCTCAGCTGCATTGATAATTATATCTATTGAGTAAATTGTGCGACTGAAGATGATACATCTGGTTTACTAGTGATGATATAAAGTTAACTGTGACGTAATGATATTAAAGAGACATTTCATTGTTGGACCTAATCCGATATTATATTTACCATGCTATTAGGACTTGTTGTTTGTTAACTGTGACGTAATGATATTAAAGAGACATTTCATTGTTGGACCTAATCCGATATTATATTTACCATGCTATTAGGACTTGTTGTTTGTTAACTGTGACGTAATGATATTAAAGAGACATTTCATTGTTGGACCTAATCCGATATTATATTTACCATGCTATTAGGACTTGTTGTTTGTTAACTGTGACGTAATGATATTAAAGAGACATTTCATTGTTGGACCTAATCCGATATTATATTTACCATGCTATTAGGACTTGTTGTTTGTTAACTGTGACGTAATGATATTAAAGAGACATTTCATTGTTGGACCTAATCCGATATTATATTTACCATGCTATTAGGACTTGTTGTTTGTTAACTGTGACGTAATGATATTAAAGAGACATTTCATTGTTGGACCTAATCCGATATTATATTTACCATGCTATTAGGACTTGTTGTTTGTTAACTGTGACGTAATGATATTAAAGAGACATTTCATTGTTGGACCTAATCCGATATTATATTTACCATGCTATTAGGACTTGTTGTTTGTTAACTGTGACGTAATGATATTAAAGAGACATTTCATTGTTGGACCTAATCCGATATTATATTTACCATGCTATTAGGACTTGTTGTTTGTTAACTGNTTCTTACCGATTGAGCTACCAAATAGTCGTACGGCTTGATTGTGCTACTGCTATAGCAAAAAGAAAGTCAAGGGCATGTTATTGAACCTACGCAACAACACAGTGGGACAGTGATCTTAGATCGGTGTATATATTCTCACATATATGTGACTTATGTGTATATGGGGCAAAGAAGTAATTCCAACAGTGTGGACAAGTTTAGATTGTCAAATTTTCGGAGCGATCCGCTCCTTTATCAGGACACAGTGAAACAGAACAGTTAGATGAACGCAAGATGAACTATCACTTAAAGTGAGTCAACGAGAGATAAGCACCAGAAAACGGGAAGAGATGTCAAAAACGTGGAACATGTGCATATGGGAATCTGGCCCGGTAAATGTGAAAAATCTCAATTTCCTACGGAATGCCCTTATTAGTATCTTAGCCATTTCATCTACTTATTCCACCTGCACTCACTTATTTGATAATTACATGCATTATTCCTGCAAACCGAAGGAGGCGACTAAGTGTGGACCCCCCTGCTGTGACTGTTAAATCCACTGCAGAATTGAGAGGCGACTAATGAGGGCATTCCGTAGGAAATTGAGATTTTTCACATTTACCGGGCCAGATTCCCATATGCACATGTTCCACGTTTTTGACATCTCTTCCCGTTTTCTGGTGCTTATCTCTCGTTGACTCACTTTAAGTGATAGTTCATCTTGCGTTCATCTAACTGTTCTGTTTCACTGTGTCCTGATAAAGGAGCGGATCGCTCCGAAAATTTGACAATCTAAACTTGTCCACACTGTTGGAATTACTTCTTTGCCCCATATACACATAAGTCACATATATGTGAGAATATATACACCGATCTAAGATCACTGTCCCACTGTGTTGTTGCGTAGGTTCAATAACATGCCCTTGACTTTCTTTTTGCTATAGCAGTAGCACAATCAAGCCGTACGACTATTTGGTAGCTCAATCGGTAAGAAAGAATATAATTGATTTATTACACCCAGAACACCGTTTTGGATAACTTATATTTAAAACATATTTTAATAAAAGTCACGCAAGATCTGGCTTTCTTTTTCAGAAATGGTTTATCACAGCTATAATCATGCAGGAAAAAAGTTGCCAATACTTAGTTAAAGCTTTTGGCAATGATACGAGATATTGAAGACATCTACCGAACTATATAGGATATTCAACAGTAAATCATTGCATAGGCTTTACTTGCATCAAATAATCATCTCATGGTACATAGAGATACACTCACCTTTTTTATTTTGTATTTGCCTCCAGTTCTGTAGAGGATAAAGCCCGTTACGATGCCGACGATGTAGGGCCCCATGCGACAGTAGGGTTTTGTGTAGTAATCATCCATATATTCTTCCAATCTGAAATAACTAAATAAGCGAATGATATTATCACCTTCTCGGTGTCTTTGTTGATAATCTATTTGTTTCCATCAACTTTCATAGACCATAGCTGATTTGATGTGAATGGTTTTCTTTTTCTTTTTTTATTTCCTTTCAATGTTTTTTTTTATTTGTGATAATATGAACAGCAAACGCCTACCGATGAAATGGATTATCGCGGAAATAGTGTCTAGGTATTTAACAATACAAAATGGTTCAGCTTCTTTCGACAGTTCATGTTACATGTAGAAGGACGTACCTGCTTTTCGAAATTGAGAAAGCCACAGCTGGAAGCTGATAATATACGGAAATACCAGCAGAAGCTGCTGTTACTCCGAGCAAACATATCGCGCATATGGCTCCTCCAATTTTTTTCCAGCTGAAAAATAACAAAATAACCATGAAATAAACAAATACATGATACTGTGTAAGGCATTTTGGCGCATATATCAATATTCGTTCAATGATAAAAACTAAAGGATTTATTATCGTTCTGTTTGGTAATGTTGCTCATGTCTTGTCTGAATTAGAGTTTACTATAAAAAAATCAAGTAATTGTTTGTGTGTACAAACATGCTATCAAATCAAGGTATTGTTGATATGTTTAATCATTCTATTGATTATATGTACAATAATGTGTTAGATTGAATGTCCAATCATGTGTTTGGTTGTATGTACAATCATGTGTTTGGTTGTATGTACAATCATGTGTGTGATTGTATGTACAATCATGTGTTTGATTGTATGTACAATCATGTGGTTGGTTGTATGTACAATCATGTTATTATAAGTATGTTAAATCATGTTATTATTTTTTCATATTTTTCCCGACAAGTGATTGGCCATGAGTGAATCACGTGTCCACCGATAAAAACCGATATTTACTAGTTGCGCGTGAGATTTGATGAAGGACTGGGTGTTTCTAAAAATAAAATTATGACGTGTCTCCAAACTAACGCATCGTCCCGCTTCCGTAGCTTTTTGTTGTGTGTTTTTTTCAGATTGCTAACATTGCTGTTTTGAAAATAATAAAATAATTGTAGCCTTTGACTTCGGTCGATACTTGGATTTATCGACCTCTGCGAAAGGCTATAATTGAATATTATTAAATATATGTTAAATCAGGTCATTTTGAGTATGTTAAAACATAAATAGTTTAATAAATAGTGTATGTAAAATGTTATTATTTTTTGTATGAACACACATGTTATTATAAATATGTTAAATAACGTTGTTAATTTATGTAAAATCCTAATAACGACTGTATAGATATTCATATTATTGATTACATGTACAATTGTGTTCTAATTGTATGAAGAGTTATGTTTATAAACTTTGTATAGAAACCTAAATGACATCGTCATGAACCATGACAATTACATCAACATGTAAGGCGGTATCATAGTGGATATTTGTAAGGAATGTGACTGGATTTGACCCCATTCAGCAATAATCTATATAGAGGTTCTCCACGGAATGATGGTTGGTTATCATGTTTATCTCACTCTCATTAGTTAATGACACGAGGTGTTCGATCGGGAAAACAATTGTCATAAATGATGACATTACAATGGAAAATTACGTTGCAAAGTATGGTAACTTAACATAATAATAAGAAGTTTCTAAATATTTTCTTCAGGTTGGTAAGTATAGATTATGAGAAGTTCTTTTTTACACAACCAATACAATTTTCTATGTGACGTTTCGATGACTAGTACGATATTTACACTGTCACCTTCATCAGACAAATGACCACTGAAGCGTATGCACACAAAGGTGTAAAATGTGTACGAGGTGGATTTGTTATATTATGAATATATAAAAGAAAATACAAAATAAAAACCTTCTTTGCCAGATGACTTGATTTGCATCAATGTATGACTATGGTTTATAACCCTTTTGTGTGCGTAAAGCCATATCAGACAAATTCAAATGTGAAATTATATTTACAAGGTGGCAAGTTCAATCAACACTTACAAGTAAAGTGGGACCAGTAGAAGAGGACTAACGACGTAGAACTGCATATCATTTGCCAGATACCAGGTCCAGCCAAGACACTGTTGATACATAAAATATTATAATGTTATGTAATGTTATGCTCAATTTTCATTTACCGTGACCGGGTTAACACTAGTACTCGTTCGTGACGATGATATGTCAACTCTCGATATTAATACTTCACATGGAAAGGTGTAATCACACGTACTTCATAAATAAAGATTATGATACAAAGATATACACTGACTCACGGGGGGCCACTTACACGAGACCAGACGTCTTCAAGAAGGTCATATGGGAAGCGCATGGAATGCAGACTGATGTGTTTTGTGTATCGACTTCACATGTACATATCACGTTCTTACACCTACTCACAAGCTCGATATCGTTACGATGTTTGCTGTCAAGCAAAATACGCTCTGTCGGGTAAATCATTTTTTGCTCAATTTTTTTGTAAAATATCAAAATCCTTATGAAAATGCATATGTGAGTGCATGTGAGAACGGCATAGCGTGCGAAAGCCTCTGGTTACATATGCACCTAACTGCAAGATATACCATGCAATAGCGGTCTGTGGAATAATGTCCCAAGAGAACATGGATGAGAGTAATTGGGTTCCATAAAAGAACAATATATTTACAATTTCGATATCATAAATTTAATTTATTTCTAAGATTTTTTATATTTATAAAAAGAGATAACTGTCATTATGTAATTTTGATCCCTCTGCAAAAAGTTCCGATTTTTTTCTAGGAAGAAAACTCTCATCAGGATCAAAGTTATTGTAAAATGTAAAATAAACAAATTATAAAGGCATTGTAAATTTTATGTTGAAGTTTTCACTCTTTTTGTATGAAACTATGTGTCCTGTTCGCCTTTTTGCTTATGGATGAAAAAAACTCACTTTCATCAAAAAAAATCAAAAATACACTTTGAGTAACGTGTTTTATATATTTTGTGGTAATACAATATTTGCTTAATTAGCATTGTTTCTTTCCATCTTTTAATTGTTGTTATTGTTCCGAACAATGTCACATGCCAAAAAAAGGAAATTATTAGAAGTGACGAAAACTCTTTTTTTTGTATTTTTTTTTTCTCCGAAAACAACCGCCAGTCTATTGGAATGCTTAGATTTTCATAAAATCACAATACATAGTGGCATAACCATTATGTGAAAGTTTCAACGAATTTTGCTGGTTAATTGCGAAAGGGTAGAGCCTCCTAAGATATTTAGGGTTTTGAGTGGTCGGGATAAATCAGAGTTCGAGGAACACGTAGTATTCGAACAGTGACAGTTCGAGTAATCCGATGTTAATTTAAAATGAATCTAAAAGAACACGATCGGGACCAATTCAACTATTCGAGGAACATGGGGTATTCGAGTTATGCGAGTTCGAGTTAGTGGGGTTTCACTATATATACAAAATGTAATATATCTTTTACAGATGCCTATATCGATCAAGCCACTATTGCTGATTTCTAAAAATTAAACAACGGAAGGTATAAAATAAGGGTTACGGAATTTACGGCATAGAAAATAATGTGTTTCTAATTCGTTCAGCTTAAAATACATCAATGCATTTAAACTTATTTGATGTTACTCCATGAAAAACATAAGTTTTGATCATTTCTTTTGTCATTAGCTATCAATGCTACATGAACATAACTTACCGCTTCCCCATTTTTAAAAATATTGTTCACATATAAAAGATTAGTCCACCATTTTGTTTCACAGAATTGACCGTCGACTGGCTTCGGCACCCCATAGGGGATGTCGCTAACGTAATGGAATAATGCAGCATTCAGCATCAACACTATCATGTACGTTGGTGTCAATCTAAAAAGAGAACCACAGGTATGACAATTATTAAAAACGAAACGAAATCTTCCATTCACATGTTTCAATAAATAAGGCACAAAAAGACTCGATTCAGACGGTTTAATACTGTTAAAGTTTGTCTGGAAGTTAAATACGTACAGTGAAACATTACATTATGTCCCTCATTTAATGTTATCTCCCTTGCCGATGAACTATTTCAACGTTTAATATTAAGCCATTTTCGTTAAGCTTCCCCATTACAATATTGCCACGCACATCTATATGTATGATGTTTAAATCTAACAGGAACTTGTTTCGACGTTTAATAGTTTAATAGTAAACTGTCCTGACGACTTCAATCGGGAAGGTAGAAAGAAATATATGTATTATGAAATAATATATACTTGTCATAAAATAATGTAATCGTATTGAAATAATATATAAGGAGAACACAATTAAAATTTTCTTCGGGTTCATTACAAATGCTAATGTTTGTGTTAGTGTTATTTGTAATTTAGCCTTTTATATTTGTGTAAAAAACAACAAAGGCCAAAATGAGGACGCCATTGTGGGAATGTTCTTGGTTGACAAAATCTTTTGTGAGTTAGGTGGCAAGATTTGCAAGTAGACTATTGCCATTCCCATGGGAACAATCGTCGGTCCTTTTCTGGCCGAATTGTTTCTGTTTTCATATAAAGCTGAATTTGCTGATGAGCACATAAGGACTTGTATATATCGACGAGGTGCTGTCTTTGAATAACAAGACACCCATTGACTACATCGGTGTTATATACCTCTAGGACGTGTAATGTACTTTTTACCTACAACCTGAACAACAGGTTCTACTAAGCTTGACGAAAAGATTCACACTTTGGACCTTCCCTTTATTTATAGCAACATGCCTGCTTCCCCTACCTACGGTGTTGGCATGTCGCAGTTTACTCTGTACCGAAGTTCAAAGGTTTCCATACAACTTTTACCTCGGATCATATTTTTCCCAGTTTTATCGACTTTGGGTTCGCATTATCGTTTTGTTGGCACTTTGGTATTCTTTTGTTGCTTTATGTTTTTAATTTACACGTAAAGCTAGAAGTCTTGTTTCAGGCTGCCCTCCCATACAGTCGGGTTGAATTTGTACATTTGGATTTCGTTTGTATCAATTAGCATTAGCTATGTTTAACAGTATGATGAATGACATCAGTATTGGTATTTATGAAGATAAGATGAACTCATATTCTCTCATTTCCCTGTGAGTAAGATAAAGCTGTCCAGGGTAAGAAAGGGATGTAGGAATGTTTTTCTCTCATTTCCCTGTGTGTAATATAGAGCTGTCCAGGGTAAGAAAGGGGTGTAGGAATCTTTTTCTCTCATTTCCCTGTGTGTAAGATACAGCTGTCCAGGGTAAAAAAGGAGTGTAGGAAAATTAAAACCTGTTACGATAAGATGTGATTATATTTTTCTGCGCAAACATCGTTTGCAAATATGAGATATGCTAAATATGGCTGGCTGATTCGTTTTCGTCTAAAAAGCTTGGGGGGAAAAATGATATTTTCAAAATAGTGGCCATTCCAAACGCATTTTCAAGGTTTCTTAGCTTATTCTGGTAGTTGGAATGAAAGAAATGTACTATTTCATGCCCACGGTTGTAGGATAGGGAAATTCCATCCTCGGGACTTTCAAACTTGGCAAAACTCCCGGCAAAGTCTCGGATTTTACCTTTCGGGAATTTTCCTATCCTACACCCCTGGGCATGAAAGAGTCTTATATTACTTTAGTCTTACTTTCCCTGTCCAACATTAGTCGTGCCTTACCATAACTTTGAATGAGGTACATTAAGTCTATGATTTCGACAAATCTGCAGTGTGGTATATTTTGTCCTGTGAAGTGACAGTGTGGTATATTTTGTCCTGTGAATGGACGCTGTGGTATATTTATAAAAAAATTCCTGTGAAGTGACACTGTGGTATATTTTGTCCTGAGAATTGACACTTTGGTATATTCTTCGGGGTATATTATGTGCCGGGTTTCACGCTGTGGTATATTTTGTCCTGTGCTTTATTGCTGTGATATATTTTATTTTGTGTATGTAAGTTATTTTGTATATTTTGTCCTTTTCATTGACACCATAGTATTTTATTTCCAGTGTTTTGACGCTGTGGTATATTTTATCATTCATACTGAGACTTTCGTCTATTTTACTTCATTGTTATTACGCTGTGGTATTTTTTGTCCTGTGCTGAAACGTTGTGGTATATTTTGTCGTTTGTATAGACGTTGTTGTTAATTGCTTCTAACTATTGACACCATTATATTTTATTTATGTGTTTTGACGTTATGTTTTGTTCTGTCTATTTCCACTATGGTTTGTTTTGTCAATTGCATAAGTTTAGATGATATGATACATTTTGTGCTGTGTATAAATGTGTCGTATAATTTCCTGTGTTTCGGTGTACATGTATATTTCGGTACCATCTGTCTAACGTTTTCGTAATTTTGTAATATAAAGTGAGGAACTTACCTCAAAAACCTATGGAAGTAGAACATGAACCAGTTTATACGACCCTTCTCTCTCTTCATCTCCTTCATGAACAAGTAGGATACTAGGAGACCACTGAAAAAAATATCAAAACTTCCGTTTTCAATAATCGACTACTGTAAATAAAACATGAAATAAAATTATTACACGAACGTGTATGATATAGGTAGACTTACAGTTTAAAAATAAAATAATTTATTCTCTGTCATTATATTGTTCCAATAACAATTACAGATACTTGCTACACGCCAGTCTTGCATACTAAATGATATTTTTCTTCAAATGTCATTGACACAATAGATGATGGTAAGACAGCGTTCACTGTCATTTACACAATAGATTAAGGTAATACAGCGTTTAAATGTCATTTACAAAATAGATTGTGGTAAGACAGAGTTCAAATGTCATTGACACAATAGATTATGGTAAGACAGAGTTCAAATGTCATTGACACAATACATTATGGTAAGACAGAGTTCAAATGTTATTCACACACTAGATTATGGTAAGCAAGCGTTCAAATGTCATTGACACAATAGATTATGGTAAGACAGAGTTCAAATGTCATTCACACACTAGATTATGGTAAACCAGAGTTCAAATGTCATTCACACAGTAGATTATGGTAAGACAGAGTTCAAATATCATTCACACACTAGATTATGGTAAGCCAGCGTTCAAATGTCATTGACACAATAGATTATGGTAATACAGCGTTCAAATGCCATTGACACAATAGATTATGGTTAGACAGAGTTCAAATGTCATTCACACACTAGATTATGGTAACCCAGCGTTCAAATGTCATTGACACAATAGATTATGGTAATACAGCGTTCAAATGTCATTGACACAATAGATTATGGTAAGACAGAGTTCAAATGTCATTCACACACTAGATTATGGTAAGCCAGCGTTCAAATGTCATTGACACAATAGATTATGGTAATACAGCGTTCAAATGTCATTGACACAATAGATTATGGTATGACAGAGTTCAAATGTCAATCACACACTAGATTATGGTAAGCCAGAGTTCAAATGTCTTTTACAAAATAGATTATGGTAAGACAGAGTTCAAATGTCATTGACACAATAGATTATGGTAAGACAGAGTTCAAATGTCATTCACACACTAGATTATGGTAAGCCAGCGTTCAAATGTCATTGACACAATAGATTATGGTAAGACAGAGTTCAAATGTCATTCACACACTAGATTATGGTAAGCCAGCGTTCAAATGTCATTGACACAATAGATTATGGTAAGACAGAGTTCAAATGTCATTCACACACTAGATTATGGTAAGCCAGCGTTCAAATGTCATTGACACAATAGATTATGGTAAGACAGAGTTCAAATGTCATTCACACACTAGATTATGGTAAGCCAGCGTTCAAATGTCATTGACACAATAGATTATGGTAAGACAGAGTTCAAATGTCATTCACACACTAGATTATGGTAAGCCAGCGTTCAAATGTCATTGACACAATAGATTATGGTAAGACAGAGTTCAAATGTCATTCACACACTAGATTATGGTAAGCCAGCGTTCAAATGTCATTGACACAATAGATTATGGTAAGACAGAGTTCAAATGTCATTCACACACTAGATTATGGTAAGCCAGCGTTCAAATGTCATTGACACAATAGATTATGGTAAGACAGAGTTCAAATGTCATTCACACACTAGATTATGGTAAGCCAGCGTTCAAATGTCATTGACACAATAGATTATGGTAAGACAGAGTTCAAATGTCATTCACACACTAGATTATGGTAAGCCAGCGTTCAAATGTCATTGACACAATAGATTATGGTAAGACAGAGTTCAAATGTCATTCACACACTAGATTATGGTAAGCCAGCGTTCAAATGTCATTGACACAATAGATTATGGTAAGACAGAGTTCAAATGTCATTCACACACTAGATTATGGTAAGCCAGCGTTCAAATGTCATTGACACAATAGATTATGGTAAGACAGAGTTCAAATGTCATTCACACACTAGATTATGGTAAGCCAGCGTTCAAATGTCATTGACACAATAGATTATGGTAAGACAGAGTTCAAATGTCATTCACACACTAGATTATGGTAAGCCAGCGTTCAAATGTCATTGACACAATAGATTATGGTAAGACAGAGTTCAAATGTCATTCACACACTAGATTATGGTAGGCCAGCGTTCAAATGTCATTTACAAAATAGATTATGGTAATACAGCGTTCAAATGTCATTGACACAATAGATTATGGTATGACAGAGTTCAAATGTCATTCACACACTAGATTATGGTAAGCCGGCGTTCAAATGTCATTCACACAATAGATTATGGTAAGACAGAGTTCAAATGTCATTCACACACTAGATTATGGTAGGCCAGCGTTCAAATGTCATTGACACAATAGATTATGGTAATACAGCGTTCAAATGTCATTGACACAATAGATTATGGTATGACAGAGTTCAAATGTCATTCACACACTAGATTAGGGAAAGCCAGCGTTCAAATGTCATTCACACACTAGATTATGGTAAGCCAGCGTTCAAATGTCATTGACACAATACATTATGGTAAGACAGCGTTCAAATGTAGCCCTGATTTGCGTTCATACCTGCATGAAAATTAAAAAACAACGGTCAATCCCTATATAAACAAAAATAAATGTGCCAAATGCATCCAGCAATGTATGCCAACCGCTCACATTAAACTGGCAATCGGTTAGTCAGTTGTTGTGTTAATCTTTATTGTTCAACATTAAGTAGGTAAACTACCCTTTTATGACTTATGTATGCCCCGGCCTACGGACGGAACCAAATGCATCCCCCACTTGGTTGGGTGAATGGGCAACACAAAACCAAACGTGTAGTATTGCCAGGACAGACGCTCAGAAAAGACAAGGGTTGGGAGGAGGTGGACCTAGCAGGGGTGAACTTCTAAGTAAGTATTAGTATTTTCACTGTCTTTAAGTGGAAATCTGTACCTGCTGAAAGTAATTACAAGATGAATGTCCTTGTTACCGGCATATGCTACCGGGATAGTGTTTGTATGTCTAGTGTATGAACATGAGGCTGTTTGATTACTGGGATAGTGTTTTATGTCTAGTGTATGTACACGCAGATGTTTGATGACTGGGATAGTGTTTGTATGTCTAGTGTATGTACACGAGACTGTTTGGCTACTGGGATAGTGGTTGTATGTCTAGTGTATGTACACGAGGCTGTTTTACTACTCGGATATTGTTTGTATGTCTAGTGTGTGTACACGAGGTTGTGTGACTACTCGGATAGTGTTTGTATGTCTAGTGTGTGTACACGAGGTTGTGTGACTACTCGGATAGTGTTTGTATGTCTAGTGTGTGTACACGAGGCTGTTTGACTACTGGGATAGTGGTTGTATGTCTAGTGTATATACACGAGGCTGTTTGACTACTCGGATAGTGTTTGTATGTCTAGAGTGTTTGTATGTCTAGTGTATGTACACGAGGATGTTTGACTACTGGGATAATGTTTGTATGTCTAGTGTGTGTACACGAGGCTGTTTGACTACTGGGATAGTGTTTATATTCTAGTGTATGTACACGAGGCTGTTTGACTATCAGGATAGTGTTTGTATGTCTAGTGTATGTACACGTGTCTAGTGTATGTACACGAGGCTGTTTGACTATTGGGATTGTGTTTGTATGTCTAGTGTATGTACACGAGGCTTTTTGACTACTCGGATATTGGTTGTATGTCTAGTGTGTGTACACGAGGTTGTGTGACTACTCGGATAGTGTTTGTATGTCTAGTGTGTGTACACGAGGCTGTTTGACTACTGGGATAATGTTTGTATGTCTAGTGTATGTACACGAGGCTGTTTGATTACTGGGATGTTTTTATGTCTGGTGTATGTACACGAGTCTGTCTGACTACTGGGATAGTGTTTGTATGTATATTGTATGTACACGAGGCTGTTTGACTATTGGGATTGTGTTTGTATGTCTAGTGTATGTACACGAGGCTTTTTGACTACTCGGATATTGGTTGTATGTCTAGTGTGTGTACACGAGGTTGTGTGACTACTGGGATAGTGTTTGTATGTCTAGTGTATGTACACGTGTCTAGTGTATGTACACGAGGCTGTTTGACTATTGGGATTGTGTTTGTATGTCTAGTGTATGTACACGAGGCTTTTTGACTACTCGGATATTGGTTGTATGTCTAGTGTGTGTACACGAGGTTGTGTGACTACTGGGATAGTGTTTGTATGTCTAGTGTATGTACACGAGGATGTTTGATTACTGAGATAGTGTTTGTATGTCTAGTGTATGTACACGAGGCTGTTTGATTACTGGGATGTTTTTATGTCTGGGGTATGTACACGAGTCTGTCTGACTACTGGGATAGTGTTTGTATGTAAATTGTATGTACACGAGGCTGTTTGAATACTGGGATAGTGTTTGTATGTCTAGTTTATGTACAGAGGATGTTTGATGACTCGGATAGTGTTTGTATGTTTATTGTATGTACACGAGGCTGTTTGACTATTGGGATTGTGTTTGTATGTCTAGTGTATGTACACGAGGCTGTTTGACTTTTGGGATTGTGTTTTCATCTCTTGTGTATGTACACGAGGCTGTTTGAATACTGGGATAATGTTTGTATGTCTAGTGTGTGTACACGAGGCTGTTTGACTATCAGGATAGTGTTTGTATGTTTAGTGTATGTACACCAGCTGTTTGACTTTTGGGATAGTGTTTGTATGTCTAGTGTATGTACACGAGGCTGTTTGACTACTGGGATAGTGTTTGCATGTCTAGTGTATATACACGAGGCTGTTTGACTACTGGGATAATGTTTGTATGTTTAGTGTATGTAGACGAGGCTGTTTGACTACTGGGATAGTGTTTGCATGTCTAGTGTATATACACGAGGCTGTTTGACTACTGGGATAATGTTTGTATGTTTAGTGTATGTAGACGAGGCTGTTTGACTACTAGGATAGTGTTTGTATGTCTAGTGTATGTACACGAGGCTGTTCTAGTGTATATACACGAGGTTGTGTGACTACTGGGATAGTGT